ATTGCATTAGTTTTGAAAAATAATATTAAATTTTGAAAAATTGCATTAGTCTTCAATCTTTATCAATTAACAAACTGATATATAATCTCTAATAAAAAAAAATTCTTTAACAACTTTTTTTATTCCCAAATTTTGAAAATTTAATAGCTTATCAAGTTAATTTAAAATAATTTTTTAAAATCACATAACATTTTATATATCTTTTTCTAGTCGATGGCTATTATTTAAAAGACAGTTGACTAAGTGGGTAATGTTATGACAAGTACAAAGCATAGAAAAAGCGCATGCAGAAAAGAAACCACCTACCACGCCACCACCTTACTAACTCAGAGTAGAGATTTCAGACACAACAACCTCCGAAAGACGTTGTTTTTAAGGCTTCTGTTCTGTACTGTTCCAGTTAAGTAAGTTTCATCGCCCTCAGCGGAGTTTCCCACCTACCCTAACATTCCTAACTTTCCTTCGCATACATAAAGGCGTTACCTTTCACGCCACCCACATTCTCATTTCATCAGAAATCTCATTCAAGCACACACTTCATACAACAATGGCTCAAAGTTTGATATATCAGCCACTCACCAAAACACCTCCTTCCTTTTCTTCTTCTTCTTCCTCTTTCTGTACCCATCGGACACCTCAGAGTGTGACTTTACGCACCCGGCGCCGCTCTCTCACTGTGCGCGCGGCGGCGACGACGGTGGGGAGGGAGTGCAAGGTGAAGTCGGTGAAGGCGAGGCAGATCGTGGACAGTCGGGGGAACCCAACAGTGGAGGTGGATCTGGTGACGGACCAACTTTTCCGATCGGCGGTGCCGAGCGGCGCCTCGACGGGGATTTACGAGGCTTTGGAGCTGAGGGATGGGGACAAGAGTGTTTACGGAGGGAAGGGCGTTCTTAACGCCGTTAGGAACATCAACGAGGTTTTGGCTCCGAAACTTGTCGGCGTCGACGTTAGGTAATGGACTTCTTTTCTCTGTTGGTTAGTTATTGTTGTTAGTGTTGAATGTAGGTAAAGTGAAGAATGAAGGAATTAAGGGTAGGTGGAATTGTAGAAGAAATCAATAGGGAGCGTTGGCTCTAGATTCAGAAGGTTTCTATGGCATGTTTGAATGTTTGGAAGAGAAGAAAATTGAAGAGTAATACTGCATTTGTGTGTGAAAAAGTTTGTAAAATTGAATCAGCCAATATGGGGGTGGTTCGAATATAACCAGAGAGGGGAATGAATATTAAGAGATGAAAGCTGATGTTAAGTTTGTGTTTGTTTATCACAGTTTATCAGGATTGGTTTTGTATTGTGTCAGATGTGATTTTATTCAAGTTGATTATTTGTTCTTTGTTAGGTAAAATAGATTTTGCCTTCAAATTTTGGTTTGATTTAAGGTAGTAAAAAATGCCTTTTGCTTTAGGTTGAACATTTTACACGGAAGTTTTACTTTATCATCAAATTTACTTTTTAGGAGAAGACATCTAAACATAATTAACTTGACATTGAGAATAATTTTAACTCAAATCAATTTTGCAAATATTCATAAACACATTCAATCATATATATGTCGAATGTATATCAAATCTCGATCATTTTTTGTATTTTGAAACTTGTCAGCTGCTGATCTAATGCTTCCTTTATACCAGCATTTGTTACCTAGTAGTCTGTTATTAAAAAACGATTCAAGTTTTGGGGCCTTTGTAAAGTAACAGGAGCCTCGCAATCAACATTAAAGGCTTAAATTTGTTTTTTCATTAATGATTAATGATTCTTAAGTCATTCCAAATGTTGATAATCTGAACTCATGCTGTGGCAGTGTGTAGTGATTCCCTAGAAACAGCTCTGGATGAAATTGATGTGAAATATTGTGATATGGATGGAGTTAGAGGAGTTATTCTGAACTTGGTGTATGTAGCACACCATACATAGTGATTTGGACACCACTTTTGAAGTGCTATTTCTTTATATTATTTTTGCTTTCAATAAACTATATCTCCACCATTTCTTTGGGGTTGTTATTGTTTTTGGAATAAAGAAAAAAAGAAACTTGTATTTACATGAACTCTAACCAAAATTATGGGGATTTGATTTTGACATGCTGTGCTGTACAACTGACATTTATGATTTCGTGATTAACAAGGAACCAAGCTGATGTTGATGGTATTATGCTGGAAATCGATGGAACTCCTAACAAATCGAAACTAGGGGCTAATGCAATATTGGGAGTTTCACTGAGTGTATGTAGAGCTGGTGCAGGAGCAAAAGGAGTGCCTTTGTTCAAGCACATCCAGGAGATTTCAGGAACAAAGGAACTTGTTATGCCAGTTCCAGCTTTTAATGTTATAAATGGGGGCAGTCATGCTGGAAATAATTTGGCTATGCAAGAATTTATGATACTACCAGTTGGAGCAACTTCATTTGCTGAGGCACTCCGCATGGGCAGTGAAGGTTAGAAATCTTCTGCTTTATTACTGACTGTACCACTGGGGAAGTATGCTTGTCACATGTAATCATACATCTTTTGCATTGTGTTTTCTTATTTTTTGCATCCAACTTAATGACTTCTCTTTTGGTCAATAGCTCAATCATTCTGGTGAGTGTGATTTTATGAGTTCAGATATTAGTTTTCATTCTAATGTTGTTAGGGCATATGATTTTATTATGGCTAGTACAAACTCCAATTTTCATGACTGCATATGGCATACATTTCATGACCTTTTTAATCTCATCACCTGTGATCTTGATATGGTGACAATCTGTTAACTTGATTATTTCTGGTAGAACAGTTTATCATGTATTAAAGGGGATAATCAAGGCAAAATATGGGCAAGATGCATGTAATGTTGGAGATGAAGGAGGATTTGCACCGAACGTTCAGGATAACAGGGAGGGGTTGGTTTTACTCATGGATGCCATTGAGAAGGCTGGTTATACTGGAAAGGTGGATACTGCTTTCATTTTGTTAACTGCATAATTTGAATACTCACTTGTGCTTATCTAGAAATGAAAATCCATGGTACAGATTAAAATAGGTATGGATGTTGCGGCTTCTGAGTTTTACACCAAGGATGGGAAGTATGATTTGAATTTCAAGAAGCAGCCAAACGATGGAACTCATGTTCACTCTGCTCAGAGTCTTGGTCAACATTATAAAGACTTTGTAAAAGACTTTCCCATTGTGTCAATTGAGGATCCGTTCGATCAAGATGATTGGGGTTCATGGACTTCCCTGCTTTCTTCTGTTGACATTCAACTTGTAGGAGATGATTTGTTAGTTACAAATCCAGTCAGAATAGCTGAGGCCATCAAGAAGAAGGCTTGCAATGGTTTGCTTCTAAAGGTTAGCAGTCTTTCCCAATTTTTGTTTCAATTATAATTCTTAATTGCTAATATGCAATGGGATTATTTAATTTCATTCTATTTTTACTTTAGTTTGCCTAACATTTCTTCTTTTCAACTTGCTTTCAGAAAATTGTATTCATTTGCATCTTACCAAAACTAATAAAAAACCACTTGCAATACAATTGACACTTCAATTGATGTTTTTGTCATCCATGGAGTGCAGGTTAACCAGATTGGTACAGTAACCGAATCTATTCAGGCTGCACTTGACTCAAAGGCTGCAGGTTGGGGTGTCATGGTTAGTCACCGGAGTGGCGAGACCGAAGATAATTTCATTGCCGATCTCTCTGTTGGCTTGGCCAGTGGACAGGTTCTATATCCTTAATAATTTGTTTGTTGAATAAAAATATTCTTAGCTACTTTAAATTGTGATGTTATCACTTTTAAACTCATTATATCCATGTTCTGTTCTGCAGATAAAAACTGGTGCTCCTTGCCGAAGTGAGCGATTGGCAAAGTATAATCAGGTAATGGGAATCTTGTGTTTCCTCTTGTATTCAAGGTTTTAGCTCAGCCGATATAATGAATATTTTAAAACAACTTAGAAATCAGAAATAATCTTAACTAGACTATTGCAAATTGTGTTTGTTAATCATGTCACCATATATGTCTCATTTTTTTTTCTTTTTGGTATACTTATTTAGTATTTCTCAGTTTCAAACTTCATTTATATTGTTTTCAGCAGATGAAATATCATTGATCTAGAAAATGTATTTTTTTAGAATGCTTCTTTAGCAATTGTTAATATCATGTTGATGGTTTGCATTAGAATGAATGATCTAACATGCATTCTCCACAACAAATGTGTTCAATTTCTTTTCAGCTTCTTCGAATTGAAGAACTTGGAGGTGTGCCATATGCGGGTGAGGCTTTCAGATCACCTTAGAGTGAACCAGACCTGATAAAAGATAAACTTCATTTATTTACCAAGGAAAATCCTGAGTTTTGAAATAGCTGTAGCCTTCTGGGTTTTCAAAAGTTAGCCTTAAGAAGGGATTAGACTTAAATAATTACCAAGTGAATTTGGTTCCATTGTTGTAACTTCTCGGTTTTCAAAAGTTAGCCTTAAGAAGGGTTTTGACTTGGACATTTTCTTCATTTACTCTCATACTTTCTTTTAGAAAATCTATAATATAATAATAGACTGTCATCGTATCTTAAAAATAATTTGAAATCATATTTTAAGATATGATTTTGAATTATTTAGTTTGAGATACAGTTCTAAATTCTATAATTAATTTAAAATTATAGTGTATGTAATTCCAAATAAAATTACAGATTATGAAATTTAGTTTATTGTTTTGAAGTATGTAATTTGCAATGTAGGCAATCTTGATACATATTTCTAATGGTGTAAATTAAAATTATATTTTAAATTATGTACTCTGAAATTATAGATTATATTATGCAATTCATAATATATTTCAGATGACAGATTATTGTATAGAATTTAAAACAATTTTAAATTATGTAATTTTGAATATAATTTTAAAAAGATTGTTTTTAATTATCTAATCTGAAATTAAAGAGGTCATCTATTATTATTTCATGAGATGAGAAAGAAAGAGGCCATTGCACTTAAAATTTCTCGTGGGGAAGCTTATGTTTCGATAAAAGCACAGTGGTTGTAGTTCTTCTTTCACATCTGCGCATAATAAAGGAATAAAGATAAAAAGTTTTGTAAGTTTATAGCAAAGAAACAGCAGATTTGCTTATCAAAATCTTTGCTTAAACGCATTTGCAAAAGAAGCCATATATAAACCAGAACATGCCATCGTTAAACAATTTAGATCCTCTTGTCTCTAGCTTTCAGGTGCAATATGAGATACCTGTATTTTCAGGCGTTAACGTCACCCACCTTCATAACTGGAAACATAAAAGTGCTTTAAAATCCAGGCAACCAGAGCTAGGGCTGAATAGTTGGACCAGCATATACCCCCATACGCATATAAAGATCACTAGGTGATTCTAACTCTGCAAGCCAAGCATATTCCTCCTCTTTCCCATCAGATACAGGTGCATTTCCAGCTTCTGCAGAGCCACAGGCATCAAGAAAATCACTCGTAGAAATCTCATATCTGACTCACTAAAATGTATACGGAATGGCAGAAGAGAATATCAATGAGCAAATACAAAAAATACCAAAAGGAGAGATAATCTGTAGTGATATTCTTGGTGTCACTGTATTATTGTGGTTCAAAAGCTGAAACGTGATTGCAACAGAAATACAGAGCAGAAGAGAGAATAATTTTTAACAGAATATGCAGGTTCTAGAAAGAAGAATTCCACAATCATTTCCTCCCCTCTAACAGGACTTAAATACTACTTGCTAGGCCAATTCATATCCACTCAGCCTAGTGTTAGTTATTTTGGCTCTCGAGCTTCTTCTCATTCCTTGATGCAAAGGATCAGCTGCCACGTGTCCCTCTTTAGAAATCTCCTGGTCTGCCTCATTTGCCCCTGCTTTTACCAAATTTCTTACAATTCCACCCCCATTGAGAATAACCTTGTCCTCAAGGTTGAAGTCAGGGTAAGCTTGGTGCAATGCTTTGTGATCTTCCCAAGTTGACTGAGACACATCTAGGCCTTCCTACTAAACCAGATGTTGACGAACGTACCATTAATAAGCACTCTAGATTTCAAAACGGCAGCTGGTTGGAGGACAGGATTGAAGTCATCATAGGTAATTGGGAGTGGAACATATGGTTGCACATGATCACCTTTACAAAGTTTAAACTGATATGCATGAAAGACGGGATGTATTTTTGCATTAGAGGGAAGCAACAGCTTATACGCCACAGAACCCACTCTGTCGATGATGGGAAATGGGCCAAAATATCGTAGACTGAGCTTTTAATTTTTCCTCAAAGCAATGGAATGCTGCCGATCAGGTTGGAGCTTCACCGGTACCATGTCTACAACCTTCCATTCTTCAAATCAGCGTTTCTTATCTGCATACTTTTTTATATACTGTTGAGCCCGCTGCAGGTTTCTTTTTAACTGATCGAGGATATAATCTAGCTGCAGTAATTCTTCTTGAACTGGAATTGGGTCATTACTAGCAGGATTATATTTCATCATTGTGGGAGGATCTCGACCATAAACGGCTTTAAATGGTGTCATGTCCAGACTAGTGTGGAAGGCTGTATTATACCAGAACTCAGCCCAATGTAACAGTTTAACCCATTCTTTTGGTGTTGCAAATGTAAAGTATCTTGAGTACATTTCAAGGCATTTGTTGACAGTTTCCAACTGCCCATCAATTTGTGGATGGTATGCCGAAGACATGTTCAGAGAAGTGCCAATCAAGCGAAAAAGATGCTGCCAAAACTGGCTTGTGAAGACCTTGTGGTGGTCAGAAACAATAGTCTTAGGGAACCCATGTATTCCGATGCTTTACTTCGTGAAAGTTTCTGCCACCACTTTAGTCGAGTAATCTGCCTTCAAGGGAGCAAAATGAACATACTTTGATAATTTGCCAATGACCACTAGTATGACTGTGTACCCACTGGAGGGTGGCACGCCAATCATAAAATCCATAGAAAGGTCCTTCCAAATCTGATTTGGAATAGGTAAAGGTTGGAGTAACCCTGAGGCAACACTGTTTGGGTTTTTGCTTGCTGACAAATAAGACAATTCTCCACATACTCTTTAATATTGCGAGTCATTCCCTGCCAGAAAAACTGAGCAGAAATTCGTGCAAAACCAGCATGACCTCCCACAAGAGAACTATGATATTCATACGAAATTATTGGAACTATCTCACTAGCAGCTGAAATAACCAATCACCCTTTCCGAAAAAGAAGGTGATCATGAACAGAATAGTTAGGATTAGGGGCCCGGTTGACGATGCATAAGTCAACAATGATTTTCAATTTAGGATTCAACTACTAAAGCCTCTCGAAGAGTAGAAAGAATAGTCAACCGAGGATGAGACCAAGCCACAAAGAAAGACCGTGAAAGAGAGTCAGCAACGATATTGTCTTTCCGAGGCTTGTATTCAATAGAGAAATCATATCCTAACAACTTATGTAACCATTTTTGTTGTTAAGGAGTTTGAATAGCTTGATGAGTTAAACTCTTCCGACTTCGTTTATCAGTTTGAATGATGAACTTATGACCAAGTAAATAGTGTCTAAACTTGGCAACAGCCGTAATCACATAAAACTCTAGGGCATAAGTGAACTGAGTTTGCATACTAAGAGTCAACGTTTTTCAGAAGAATGCAATAGGATGAAGGTTTTGGCTCAAAACGGCTCCAATACCCAATCCCGATGCATCGGTTTCAAAAATAAATGGTTGAGAAAAATCTTGCAAGCTTAGAACTGGAGCCTCGGTAATAGCAGTCTTAGGAGCTGCAAAAGCTACTGTCGCAGAAGAACACCATGAGAAATTGTCCTTCTTCAGTAAGTTGGATAAAGGAGCGGCTACGGTGGCATAACCTTTAATGAATTGTAGATAGTAGTACCAAGTGATGCCTAGGGAACCTCATAGCTATTTGAAATTATTTGGCTTTGGCCAATCCAACACTGCCTTTACTTTTGTTGTATCCATTGCCACCACATTACCAGAAACAATGTGACCTAAGTAATCAACTTGTTGTAATCCAAAGGAACATTACGAAAGTCGTGCAAATAGTTTATGCTGTTGTGATACTTTCAACACCTCTTCCAAATGATGTAGATGTAAAGACCAAGAAAAACTATATACCAAGATGCCATCAAAGAAAACCAAGACAAATTTTCTTAAGAAATTCTAAAATACCTCATTCATGTGACTCTGAAATGTATCAGGAGCATTAGAGTCCAAATGGCATGACCAGCCATTCATAGAGGCCTTTATGAGTTCTGAAGGTAATTTTATGTCAATCCTTTGGGTTCACCAATATTTGATGATGTTGGAAGTCCAACATCAATTAGAGATAAGACCAATTTAGAGTATATATGTGGATGCAAACCTCACCTTACAAGCCGATTTCGTGGGATTGAGTTAGACTTAAAATTCACTTATTAATATGGTATCAGAGTCATTGTTAGACCCTATCTTGTTGTTTGTTGGGCATATTGCTCCATCCACTATCGGACCACCCATTAATGTCTAGTTCCACGCACAAGATGTATATACTCGATGTGAGGGAGGTGTGTTGGAAGTCCCACATCAACAAGAGATAAAACTAATTTAGAGTATATGTGGGTGCAAACCTCACCTTACAAACCAATTTTGTATGGTTGAGTTAAGTTTAAAGTCCACCTCTTAACAAATGATAACCAGATCAGGTCCAATTTGGAAAAATATTGAGCACCATGCCATTGTGGGAATAGGAAAACTATCCTTCACTATAATGGCATTCAAGGCCCGATAGTCGATACAAAAACACTAGGTTCTGACCTTCTTCTTTACTAAGACGATGGGGGAAGAAAATGGACTGGTGCTAGGCATAACAATCCTTTCCTGAACATGTTGTGTATCATGGTCTCTATTTGTATTTTTTTGTTGTGGGGATATTAGTAAGGTTGGACCTTAACAGGGCCAGAACCTAAAAGCAAGGGAATTGAATGATCGTGGGTCCTAGAAAGAGGTAAACCCGAAGGCACAAAGAAAACATCTTTATAACAAGCTTAGTACATATGATTTATATGCACCAGTTTGAGGGGGAGTTTTAGACTTTTGCTATTGTTTGATATTGGTAGATATTATTGATATTGTCTGGTTGCCATATATACTTTTATCATTCTTCATTATAAAAATATTACACTATGTGTGTTTTAAATACAAGGAAGATTAATCATATACCTAGTTTTACTATATTCAATACATACTATGTGGTATGCGTTAGACACAAAATACATTTAACAAATATACATTTCTATATGATATCAATAGTTTAGGGTTTCGATCTTCAATCTTCTTTTTCCTTTCTTTTTCAGGTGAACACTACCTATGACATTTGAGTACATTTGTAACAAGTTTGGTACATATGACATATACTCCAGCTTGAAAGGGAGTGTTAGAATGAAATCAACTGTTACATATGTCTAGGGAATTAAACGTTAGATAATATGGAAAATTAGGATGATTGATTCCTAATTATTAGGTGTATTTATTATGATTGATTTTGTATTATGATATAAATACATTAAGAACATGTACAATTCTATAGACATATAGCACAACTGCCCAGGTTTTAAGATGTTGCAGGTCAATTGTGGCTGATGCAATCCATAATCATGTAACAATTGCATCATGTGATATGATCTGCTATTAAAACCTTGATCACCAAAATAAATTATGATGATGTATACAAACCGATAAAAAAAATTATGATGATACAACAGAAACAATATTACTAAGCAGTTACTTACTGAAAGCTGAATAAGGATAGTCATGATAGTATGTGCACTTCCTTTCTTCTTCAATATAAGGAGGTGTGAGAATGTCAAGCATCGCACATGGAGTTACAGCTGTAAAACAGTGCAGATTTCCACCGTGTTTGGGATATAAGACTGATGTTTCACATGGTGCACTCAACACCTTATCAACTGCTAATTTTGCTAGTCTAACTGCCCCAGAAAGAAAAAACTCAATTAACAAGTAGCTTCATAATACGCATGCAGTAGAACAGAATGCATAAGCCATTAACATGATGATTTTCAAGGTGTCACATTTCAAAAGATCTACTGAAAATCACACTAGGACCCCCTCCTCTCAGGTAACATTACATTCATAACACCTCCATTTCTTGACCCTACAAAAAATCCCCAGAAATCCATCATAATAATGTGACAGATGCACTCGCTGTTCTGTCAGGTTACTGCTTTAGTATATATAAAGCAGTCAGATCAGGTGTACATGCCTCTTTAAAGATTTTATCTTCCTCATTGTAACTAAATTAGAAGAGAATAACATGTTTCTCAGTTTGTGTTGAAGAAAACTCCAACATGGCATAGCCATAACTGTCTGAAGGAACTATATTTGGATAATTTTAAGAATGAAAATGAATTTTAGGCATGAATATAGCATTAAACAGACATGAGACTTAGACACAAATGACCTGATACATGGATAGACAATTTAATAATGTATGATCTAATCCTTTATGTTACGTACCTGAGTACGTAAACTAGCCAAATACAACCTTTCACACTCTCTCACACGTAATAGAACAATAAACACACGTAATAGAACAATAAACGAATAATAATGGATGAATGAATCTCTTTTATTGATGGTAATATCTGAATAAACAAGGGTAAACAATAATTGGGAGCATAACCTCCTTCAATTACTTTGAGAGCATAACCTCCCTCACAAGACAATAATGTCTGTCACAAAATTCAATAATCAAAAGCATGTCTTTAACCCTAGACTCTAACTTTATTTATACTAATTATTTCCCGCCCATCAATTATTAAATATTTCTCTAGAATATATTTAATATAAATATCCCTATATTTAATATTTAATATAAATATTCCTATATTTAATATTTAATATAAATATCCCTATATTTAATATTTAATATAAATATCCCTATATTTAATATAAATATCTCTCCGTATATTATCCTAGCATATATTCTTAATTATAAATATCTTATATTGAATATTTCCCTAAATATATATTTATTTACTCTAATTAACTTATACTATATTTATTTACTCTAATTAACTTATACTAAATATTCTCTTTGCTCATATACTTTCCAACCCTTATTATTACCCCTACCTTAGATCGTAACACTTTATCAATCAATACAATCTTGTTTACGATGACCCACCAAAGTTATTTAGTGTGTATTAGGAAAAGAACAAACCGGACACGCGAAAGATCAAAATCTATACAAGATAAAAAAACGACGTTACATGAAGCCTAGACAATGCTACACGGAGCACTAAATGCTACACTAGCTTAGATGATGCTACATGAAGTGCTAGATGCTACAAAATTTTAGACAATGATATACAAACAAGGTGCTAGGTAAAGCTGCATATAGTGTATCCAAAAGCACAAACAACATTGCAAGAGAGTAGACGCACTTCAAGTCTAAACAAAGACTAGACCTATGAGAATATAAGACGAAATCTAGAAGATCTCAACATGAAAAGTAGATGTATCATACAAATGAATATAGAACTAACAAGAAAAAAGATCAACACCAAGCTCTCCACCAATCATATTCAAGACAATATAGAAGCTTTCTCATACATAAAGGACTAAGGATTCTAAGTCATCTACGTGAACTTATTGATATTCATACAATATTTGTCGTAAAGTTTTTACGTGCTAGATCATAAGATCATCTACTAGATGATTGACAGAGTGAACTTTATTTGTAAAATCTTCATTGTGTAAAACTATTCTCACATACAAGATGTGCTTATAGATCATATCCTCTCTAGTGAGAGTTTCCTTGTTTAAACAATTTTTTTTGTAAGGCAGAGAATGACAATATGTATACAAGAAAGCCAAAACTGGCTAAGCATTAAATAGTACTTGCGCATTATCTTGACCAGTGATAAAGAGATAGTTAGAAGTGACTGTGTACTCGTGTGAACCAAAAATGGCAGTGTATAATACTTGAAATCAAGTTTGATTAGTGGAATCCTTTATTATGTGTAAAAGATATTGGATGTAACTCAAGTTGGGTGAACCACTATAAAAACTTAAAGTGTCACACGGTTATGTCTATTGCTCATATACCAACTCTTTGTTGTTTTAACAAATGTCTAACAAAATTATTTGTGAAATATGTTCATCTAATTAATGGCTTGTTGCAAAAAGCTTTCCAAAGTGTTTTAAAACCTTTATTCAACACCCTGCCCCCACCCTACAGATATACCTTAGATCATAAGTGTGCATCATCAACCCCCCTGAACTCCTCCTTTTATAACCTAAGATGACGACTTCATTTTCACGAAAATTGTTCCCTAACAGAACAAAGGGTATATTTAAGGGTGTATCTGTCACATTATTAAAGATTTCAAAGGGTTTTTTGGTAGGGGTCAAAACATGGAGGAAGTGTGAATGTAATATTAGCTAAACAAAGGATATCCAGATTCAATTTGCTCTAATAAGGATTTTAGATTGGCACTGGATGAACCAAAATAAACAATTAAGCCTTTGAATTGAGTTAGAAAAAGAAAAACATAGTCTTTCAATAGATCTAAGGTGGTAAACATTTGCTACAAAATAATGCACAATATTATTACAGAAATCACCCACCACCAAGACCAAGAGCTTTGACTTGGTCTCCATGTCTATGACTTATAGTTCTCATGTAACCAAGACAAATGTAAAATTTAGATGTATATATTATGGGAACAGATAGACATTTGAAGCAAAAGCATAACACACACACACCTTATTAAAAAAACAGCATACATAAAAATTAATAATAAAATAAGAGGCAAAAAAGAAACAACAAATAAGAAAGTCATCAGTAAATGAAATATATAAGTCAAACCTTGAGGATATCCAGGTCCTTTACTTTCTACGACAAAGGGAGGCTCAACCCAGTCATAAGCTTTCACATGCAAAGAGCCATATAGAAGTTTGCTGAATACAGTCATCCCAGGATGATCATGGAGTGGAATAACTGAAGAAGTTGGGAAACAGAATATACACATCTGCACCAATTGACATTGCTTACTTTAAAATCCAAACCTCATTCCACACATCAGATTGGCCCAAGAAAACAACTATAATGAATGCTATAATGAAAATGTCACGACATAACAACAAAATACCATGAAAAGTTTGGCTATATATGAATTAATGAACCGTACAATAAACACCTTATACTAGTACCCAGAAGGCAAGCATAATGAAAAATCTATAGATGCACAGAAATGTAGACATGAAGCTAACAGACTTGCAGCAGCGCAGAGGCAGTCTACTAACACAGCATACATACGAACCCATAAATATTGACATCCAACATAGATGCAAAATCTGACATGAAAACATATTGCTACCAAGAAGAGGTTGAAATTGGCCAACATGTTCATGTACTACTCGAAAATAGATAAAACCAACCACATCTTAACTCTTATGCTCAATCATCCAACATAAATGCAGAATCTGACATGAAAACATGTTGCTTCCAAGAAGACGTTGAAACTGGCCAACATGTTCACCTATTACTTGCAAATGGATAAAACCAATGATATCTAGAATCTAGTTGTTCATTCAACATACAAGTAAAATCTGGCATGAGCCTGATTCCACTTAAAAGGACTACAAAATGTTCAAATGGCACCGCTTATGCTTTCTGTTTATTCTTGGTTTTCTGCATTGCACTTTTACCACTTTTCATGCAAACAAGAAACAGATCTATGCTCGGATGCAGAGTAAACACACCGAGCAAATATAAATAGTTGTCTTACTGTGGTGCATACTAAAATGGTAAAGCTCACCGTAAAACTATCACATTCATGAATGTCCAAATATGTTATTGGTTGAGCCCATCGAGCTACTCTGTTAAGCACATTAGCACCAAAAAAGCCATGCCCTCGATCATCATCTGCAGTTTCTTCTTTAAGGCCAACATCAGCAGGTTGAACAGTGTCTGCCAAGTCATGAATAATTAGCAATAATCAAGATTCCATTATCCAAATCAGCGCAACATCTGCATTTCAAAGTTCAAAAATATATGAAAATAATCTGGATTTAGATAGGAATCACCAACTTATAAAATTCTGCAGAAACAATAAATACCTTCATAATATGCACAAATAAAATAGTGGTAATGTTCCATTCGCTAAATAGATCAAACACGACAACAATTCACCAAAATCATATTCGATATTCGTTGAATGACTGCCAAAATCAGTGACGTCAGAATCCAGCAACAGGCCAAATTCCCCACAATTCAACTCTTCACATCACTCTTTTCAGTTTAGTCAAATGGACCCAAAAAAATATAAACGGGCAAAGCTACTTTTTCCTTCCACAATTCATCTTGGACCTCTCTAAGAGATTAAATAACCTAGATTATTTATTCATTGCAACAAAAAAGAAATACTCACATTGCAATAAAATAACCTAGATTAATTGGTGGCTGAAATAAAGTTCACAGCTTCTACATTTTAAAAGTCATATTGCTCTTACTTCGTCCACGTTTCCTCAGTTGATTTCTCTCCGTAGATTAATTTAGAGTACACTCCCAATCTTCAAATCAACCCAATCATAGAATTTTCATGCATTACAATACAAAACAACATCTAGAAAATCAAAACCAACTAACCATAACGCTTTAATTTAATCGTAATGTCGTAAAAGACCGTGCTCACCTCAACAATTCTCCCAACACTGGAAAGCCCAATATTACAAACTGAACATTGAGAGCAATTGGAGAAAAAATTGCATACTTGAACTCTGAGAACAACGAAAGAGACATACCCAGAATCGAAGAGAGCTTCTGCAAAGCCTGGGACGACGGAGGGGGTGTTCCAGAGGGTGAAAAGATGGTTTTGCAGTGGTCATACAGGGTCTGAACCTTGGAGCTTTGGGACCTCATACTGAAGTATCTGCGTAGTGAAGAGAAAACCATGTCCTTATTCTCTATTACCACCCTCAAATATCAGATAATACTTGTCGTAATTTGAAGACGCCTTTTTTTTTACTAGTAAGGTTCAACACAAACCATTTTACTTCAACGAAAATGCGATCTTTCCCATTTTCTCTGCGCACATCCTTTTTCCTCAAAATTTAACTTAATTAGTTTTGTGTTCATATTATATAAACTCAACTTTCTTAATTTCGCATATATATATATATATATATATAGAGTTAGTATACTTAATAATATGTATCCGATTTTAGTAGACAAAAATACAATTATATATTATGGATTCTGAGTATTAAGGTCAATGATATTTGAATAATTTTTATTCTCAAAATAAATAAAAAAATAAGAAATCTCAAACCCTTATTCATCTCCCTCATTCCTCTTAACCCTTTTTCTTTTGTATCTCTCATTCCAACTTTTTTTTCTGTCATCGCTACTGTAGCTCCAACGGAAAAAATCAGAAACACTCGTCTAACTTTAATCCACTTTTCTCATTTATCTTATTTGTTTCTCTCTCAACCTCATACTCTCTCTCACCTACACATAACAACCCGCGACACCGCAATTTATTGCTCTTGCTCTGTTCGTTCATTTGTTTTCCACTTTAATAACAAAATAATTGATGATGTTGATGTTGATTTTTGATTGGAGGATTGTGTTAAATTTTTCGTTTTTAAATTTATCTCAATTATTTTCCAGAAGAGAAAAACCCTTATATGTGAAAAGGGGATTTCAGAAGGGGTAAGTCATTGTCCAGCAAATGGAATATAGTTTTCACCTTCCTGCATATAACCAACGTACTAAATTATTTAACCAGACAAAAAAAATGAAGCTCTTACACATCGTACTAAATGATTTAACCAGAACAAATTATTGAAGAAAGTTATGAACAAAGAAAATTGTTGTTGTTGACTTTGTCCCCTTATTAAAAAAAATAAATCAGTGTTCGTTCCTCTCGGATGTTTCATATTGATAAGCATATTTTCGTTTCATTTTTGTAAAAAGAATAAAAATATTCTAACAAATTACACATCTTCTATATTTAAGCAGATTACAGAATGTTGAGTAGTTTTCAAGAAGAACTGCATTGATATACCAACTAATTAAAAATCAACTAGAAATTAGTAAACTAGTCCCAATGAACTTGTTAGCTCTCAGTTGGACCAAAAAATTACATTCCAAAGTAAGTCACATTATGTAAGTTTATTTTAAACAATTTAGATCTTCAACTTGTTTGGTCAATATAAGGGAAATTAAGAAAAATAGAACACATTGAATTTCAAATTGGAATTTAAACTTAATAAATTTGTTACCATTACACTCATAGTTTAACTTTTACTTTTTTTTTTTCATTTTCTTATGAGTTTATCAAAATTATAAACATGATATTGTCATTCTGATTTATCATTTGTCGCATAAGGGAAATTAAGAAAAAACAAAACGTACTAATTTCATATTGGAATTTAAACTTAATAAATTTATTACTAATCACACTCATAGTTTAACTTCTACTCCTTTGATTTCTATGATGGGTTGATGCTAACGTTTTTTTGTGAGGGGTTTCTTGTTTTTTGTTTTTGTTTTTGTTTTGAAATTATTGTAGACTTTAGTTTTTTACAAATTTAATTACAATCAAAAGGGAAAAGATATAACAAAAATAAACGAACAGAGCAAGAGCAACAAATTGAGTTTTTTTTTAGTTTTGAGAATGAAAATTATTTAAATACCCTTACCTTAAAACTTAGAATCCCTAATATATGAAAATATTTTTATCTATAAAATCCGGTACACTTGTTTTGAATGTAGCAACTAAAAAAACACCTACGCATGTTAGCAACCCATATATATTATATAATATATATATATATTATATAATATAATATATATACTACTACTAACTCTTTCTCCTCTATATCATTCTCCTACGTTCTACTTACCTTTATCTCCTTATCCCTAATTTCCATATCTTAAATAAACCCCCGGGAAACCTACTAAAACGACAAACCCTTTGTCCACCTGTCTTACCACCCGAAAACCTCTAAACTCAATACCTAATCTATCAACTAATTTTTGCCAAAAGAAGAAAAAAAAAGATGCGACTCTTTCTTAGCACGACACAGTATGTGGTGCTTTTTACAGTTAAAGTATAAGTGAACTAGTAGATAAAGTGTCACTAAATTTTAAATACATGGCTTCTCCTATTCATTTCTTTCTCATTTTCTAGCATATATTTTGTATTCCATTTTCATAGACAAACATTCTCTCTCTCACACGCATATACTTTCACACACAAACAATATTAACTTTATTATGTTTTAGTTTATTAAATTTGGTATTTTAATTTGAAAATTAGAGTCATCATAACTAGTTTTAAAAACATATTATACTATTAAAAAATATTAAATATTAAATCAACTAACACAATTATCATTATTTTTCAACTTCACATTTTTATCTTGAATGTGTTTCAGAAATTAAAAAGAAAAATGAATTTAGATTTTCGTTAATGACTCTTAAATTATGTAAGATTATTTTCATATTGAAACAAATACTTTAAGAAAGAAAGATGTAAGAGATATGTATATATTTGGTAATTTGAAACCATTTTTTTCATTCCCATGATGATATCGATATTCAAAAAAACCTCAATTTGGTTCTAAATGATATTGCTAGTCACATATGAGGCAATTTGTTGGGATTCAAGTGTAAGTTTAAGTCCCACATTGGGATAGCTAGAAATGAGAAGTAGAACACTATATAAAGATGAAAAGCTCATTAACTCATTGTCTTAACTTTTGGGTAGAGAGTGGTGTCAATCCTTATATAGTTGGACTCATATCTTTTGTGTTTGTGTTTCTCTCTTGTGAACCCTCCTTCTGTAGACCACAACCTATTTTTTGTTTTAGGGTTTGGTCCATGATTTAACAAAGGTGTGTTTAGATGATTTAAAAAAGAAAAATGTATTTAAATTGTTCTTGACCTCAACTTGTGAGAGAGGTAAGATTATTGAGTTTATCGAAACTTGTCCTCTTTTAATATCAAAAAGTGATTCAAATGATTAACATCTACCCTCAATTGATAGTTTGTCTCTATGTGCTCAATAGTTCTACATCTTTTAGAAATAGAGACCAAAACAATTTTGTTTCTACATGATCAGTCAACACTCTTAACTCCTTAAAGGCTTGATCTTTTGGTCACTTTGTCTCCAATTTGTCCATTCTCAAATGTATTCCAATTGCCTTGACCCGCTCGAGTGATACTTGAAAAGACACTCTAATACTTAAGTTAGTAGGTGTCTGAGCGCAAAGATATTAAATTCAATAATCAATCCCAACTATACTTTACTTGGACCTCCTAATTATATTATCTATAATGAATTTTTACTTATCATCAACCTAATTATGATCAAATTGTGTCTTAACACGATTACTTGACTGATTTATATTAAACTGCTTTTGAATTGGTTAATCACTTAAGATGTCAATCAATCCGTCGTGCTCGATGCCAACACAAACCACTCAATTGATCTGTAATTTATTTTCTTATCTTGATTGTTTGACCCGTCAGTACATATTATACAAATTTAAGTACATATTTTCTTTTGTAAATCCTCTTTAAGATAGTCTTTTCAAGATAAAAATTAATACTATAAACTTCAAATGTGATGATTCATGATTCATCCATGAATATTTAGAATGTTAAATAATGTAAAACATTTTATGTATTAAACTATTATTTATCATGAGTTATTTGTATGCCGATGTAGTTGGTTTATCTACCAACGGGAGCTTCTAAATGGAAAGCTACCTTGTCCCCGATGCATGTCATCAATGATTTTTACATTTCATGATGAAACAAAAAATCCATATTATAATGACGTATCCAAGCACAAACATTAATCAAAGTTAAATAATTTAGACAAAAATCATTAAAAAAATTAAAATAGTTAAAATTTGTTTGTAGAAAAGTGCTTCATATTTTTATAAAAATAAGACGAGAGCATCGTTTTCATTACTTTTTCATATTTTAGAATTTTCGTTCCTCCTATTACAACTGCTTTATTGACTAAGCTGTGGCTTGTTTAATTATGTGAAAGGCTAAAATTAAACATTGCAATTATTGTATAGTAATTTAACTCACTGTTGGAACTCCTCGTGACCTAGTTTTCCTCTTTTTGCTCATACACAAACCAGTGTGGTAAACATGAAAAACAAATTAGAAATAAGCAGATTTGCAAAGTGGCTCACTCACACATGCCATGCTGCAGAAACTAAACGTGGCCAATGTTTCTTGATTCAAATCTTAAAACAGACAAAAATCTAGTAATCGAAACATATAATTTGTCAGAAAAAAAGGAAAAACTGAAACCTATGAAAATAACCTAAAAAACCTTCAAATAAATCTATTATTCCTCACATTAAGTATACTGTTCATCTTAACTTTTTGCTACCATTCCTAAACTGCAGGAGCCTTACCTTTACTACTGATCAAAACCATCTTTTTATGATTCTTTTCGGCCCTTTTTTCAACTACTTGATGATTTCCCTTTGCTTTGTGATCTGAGGAATACTTGTTCTTCACTTCCTCCTTCTGCTGAAACTGTGTGATTCCATCACAGCCACCTCCCAATGGATTACTCACTCCATATTGACTCGGACCAGAAGAAGCATCAGAAGGCCATAGAATCATCACTTCAACATCTGCATCAGCTTCTGCTTCTTTCATAATCATAATCCAAGCTAAAACCTTTCTCCTCTTTATCATCACCATGTGCATCCTCATCTCTCGGAGACCCAATATACATGGTCCATCCAGATTCATTGCTGTGACATTCCTCTTCACCTCCCATCCTCAAATGGGGTGGCTCCATCCTTACAAACCCCAGAAGAAAAGAAGGAAAGGGTAGGTTTTTCAGTTAGTTTCAGCAGGATAAACAAACCAAAGCATAGAAACTACAGAAAAATTGAAGAAAGCTTAGTATATAACCCTCACACACACATACACATATACATATATACATATAATATAGTATAATATAGTCTTGAAAAGAAGTGATG